CTTTGGGAGGCTGAGGTGAATGGATTGCCTGAGCCCGCGGGTTCGAGACCCGCCTGGGCAACTTGGCGAGACCTCATCTCTACAATAAATCAAACAATTAGCCGGGCGTGGTAGCGCACGCGCTTGTAGTTCAGCTACTTGGAAGGCTGAGGCGGAAGGATCGCCAGAGCCCAGCAGGTCGAGGCTGCGGTGACCGGGAGCGGGCACTGCACTCCAGTCTGGGCGACAGAGTGAGACTCCAACTCAAAAAAAATAAAAAAATAAATAATAAAATGCATGTTTTAGTGTAGTTTGGAGTCAGGAAAGTTTAAAAGCTGTTTTTGGGACAAAACATTTCATTCAGTTAGGGTAATAGTCTTTGTCATGCAGAGACCCCAGAAGAGAGTTAAACCATTGGTATGAATAAATTTCTGAAGTGTTAAATGGATTATGGGGGGGGGATAATTTCCTTATTTTATACAGATAGAGATTATGAAACAGCAAGAGATCCTGGCTATCTGCAGAGTGACTGTGAGAAAAGAGTGAAAGGAGAGGCTGTCATACACCAAGATAGCCAGGTCCCATTTCACCCTGCATTTCACAGGTGAGCCTACCCGTGTTAGTGAAATATCATTGATTAAATAAATACTTTGACTTTCCAGAGGCCAAGGGAGTTAAAAAAAAAATACAAGCCCAGCCATACACGGTGGTTCACGCTTGGAATTCTAGCTACTCGGGAGGCTGAGGCAGAAGGATCACTTGAACCCAGGAGTTTAAGGCTACCTTGGAAACCACAGCAAAACCCCTCCATCTCTTAAAAAAAATCGCTGGGCATGGTGGCTCATGCCTATAATCCCAGCACTTTGGAAGACCAAGGCGGAGGATTGCTTGAGCGCAGGAGTTTGCCACCAGTCTGGGCAACATAGCAAAACGTCGTCTCTACAAAAAACCAAAAAATTAGCCGGGTGTGGTGGTACATGCCAGTTTTCCCAGCTACTTGGGAAGCTGAGGCGGGAGGATCGCCTGAGCCCAAAGGTTGAGGCTGCAGTGATTGTGCCACTGCAGGTTTATACACACACACATACACACACACGAATATATAATCTCCTCAGCCTTAAACCTAATGTCACAGTATCAGGGTATCAGCAGGGCTGACTTATCCATTAGGTACAGTAGGCACAATGGCTTGGACCCATGATGCTTTTGAGGGTCAATAAAGATGTTTTAGTTTCTTTGAAAATCAGAAAAAAAAAATTCTAGCCTCAACTTCATTTGGGCTCATATAAATGCATTTGCAAATTATACTTACTAATTTTTTTTTGCAGTAAACAGTCCACAAAGGCCCATGAAAGTCCTTATGCAGCTCGGGGTGTCAGGGATATCAGAATTATTTGTGGTCCTTGCTGAAAATGCAGATTCCTGGGCACCACTCTAGTGCTCCAGAATCGAACTCTTTTGGAATGGGGCTAGAACTTGCTGTTTCAGCAAATACCTCAGGTGATCCAAATATGAAAAAAGCTTAACACATTTGCGATTGACAAATTTTTCACTTTCCTAACAGTGGGCAAAAATAATCTAAAGCTGGTTGCTGCCAGCTTCTGTCATTAAGCACAAGTGAAATAGTTTTTTGTAAATTGTCACCTTTTTCACAATACAGTTGAAAGTTGCCTCAGATTAGACACCACTCTGACCAGCATTCCATACTTTGTATTTTTATTCAGATTATAAACCAAATTTGTATCATATATATTTGTTTACACTGCATCTTACATCACTATCTGTCTCATTATCACTAATAGGTTCATTGGATTCACCTTTGACCTCAGAAATCCCATCAGCATATATTTATTTTTCATAATTATGGTAAGTTATTTTTAACGAAGTATGAAAACTGAAATATCAAAATACAAACACACAACACTAATCACAACAAAATAACGACTAATTTGCTATTTTTACCAACTGCGTAAATCAGTAATAACATTGCATAGTCAACCTCAGATAACTACCTCAACTTTCTCCTTGCCTCATTATCCATTTTCAAGCAAAATATAATAACACAAACATATGACAATGCTGCAGCATTCAGAAACAGAATTTGCAAAGATGTAGATTCACATCAGCAAGAACCAGGAACAGAATTTGGAATGACGTAAATTCACACCAGCGATCGCAAATGAGTTAAGAATCTCTGGCCCTAGAGTAAACCATCGAGACTCGCCACAGGAGCTTGTGTTAGCAGGGGCTACTTGCTGGGGCCAATTTGCCCGTCAGATCTACTAAATTATACCTGTGCTGTGCCCCTTCTGGTAATTTTCCCCCGAATATGAATACTCTGAGGAGCCCTTCATGCTGTCCTGTTTAGTTGTAGGTTTTTATCGGCAGTGGCCTGTGTTTATCATTAAGCTTCCCTGTATTTGCCCTTCAGGATAAAAATGTTTACCACCAAATGACAGTTTTCAAGTGTTTTATTTGAAAAGGAGGAAAGTGACATATCTGACATATTCAGGTTGAGGTTAACCGTAACGTGCTCTGACTGGATCATTATTCTTCAGTGCAACACGCCCCTGGTAGTCAGTCTTGACCTGAGTTAACCAAACCACAGGAGAACAAAAGCAAACAAGAGCAGGTCTCTCTTTTTGATTCCAGTTTCTCAACATTTCTTGTCAGGGTTGAGCCACTCCTGAACAATAAGGAGGCTCTGCCAATCCACTCAAAAAAACAAACAACGGCAAAAGAAAAAAATCCAAGACCTCTTTGTGAAGGACAGCAACTGCGGACCCTGGCCTCCGCCCCTTCCAGGGCAAGTGTTCCCAGCGGCGAGGGCACAGGCCTTCATCCCCCGAGCGACCCCTAGCGTCCGAGTGTGCTATCTGCATCGGCTCCGCATCAGCCCCAGCTGGGGCCTTGGCCTACGGAGCTTCAATGAAGAAAATACAATCGCAACACAAGTCAGAAGAGAAGGAAAAAAAAAAAAAAGATGGAGCTGTTTCACAGGTTGTCTGAGGAGTTTCTGAATCAGTGACATTCATCCAGAGGCCATATTCTGTAGTGGGAAGCAAAAGGACATCACAGGGACGGCAGGGACAGATCCAGTTGCTGGCTCTGACGGTTCCTGCAGAGGTGACCTCAGGCAAGGAAGTTTCATGCACTCGGCGAGTTTACAATGTGGTGGTTATAATTCCTCCCTCAAAGGATTGTTTGGGGGTTTTGAGAGAAATAATGTACGTGAAAGCACTTTGTGAATACTATCTGGGGCAATTTACGTGCTCAATAGATGTTGCTTGAATTTGATACTTACTTGGGGGGGGAGAACAATTTCCCTTCACCATCCAACAGATAAGAGTTAGCAGTATGACTGCTTAATTCCTTTGGTTTATTTATTCTACACACGACTTTGAAATCATCAAAAGCTATGCTGCCAAGAAACGTATGCTGTTGAGTAATCTTACAGTTCCCTTAATCTCAGCACAGTAGAAGGGTTTCGCACTGAAGATATAGCAGGCATTATCTGGTTGTTTTCACTGGGCAGAACAAAGACCAATGAGTAGAAGTTGTAAGAAGGCAGATTATGGTTCGACGTTAAAAAGGACCTTTTGGCAACTGGAGCCAGAGCTGCTGTGTTGCATAACTCTGTGGGACACGATGCCTGTAGATCGCAGCTAAGTCACAACCCCTGGGTTGGTCAAGGCACACATGCATGGCAATCCCAGAGCCCTGGCTGGAGCTGTCCCCCAGGTCACAGGCTGGTTTGTGAAGGATGAAGTTCCCTGTCTCAGAATCTGTTCAATTTGGCAAGGTGGCAACAACTCAAGGATGTTGAAGAGATGGCTCCTACTTTGGAGAAGCGCCTGACTAGGCCTTTTCTTTCTTAATTGGTTTATCAGGCATTTATGGGGCATCCATTTTATTTATTTTATTTTATTATTTTTGAGTTGGAGTCTGTCTCCCAGGCTGGAGTGCAATGGCACACTCACAGCCACTGCAGCCTCGACCTGCTGGGCTCAGGTGATCTTTCAGCCTCAACTTTCCATGTAGCTGGAACTACAGGTACACGCCACCACACCAGCTAATTTTTTGATTTATTGTAGTGATGAGGTCTCACCAAGTTGCCCAAGCTGGCCTCAAACCCATGGGCTCAGGCAATCCTCTCGCCTTGGCCTCCCAAAGTGTTGGGATTATAGGCATGAGCCACCGTGCCCAGCTGGGACATCCATTTTATATCAGGCACAGACCTCAGCCCAAGGAAAAATGTCTGAATAAGACCAGCCTTTCCCCCATGGAAAGCAGCAGCCTACCCACTTGGTAATACTGTGCTCCCACAGCACTGTGGCATCCGTTGTGACACCAGCTATCTCCTTCAGTGGTAGCTGGAATTGCATAGCTGTGCCCTCTGTCTCTAAGATGGTTACTTTCTCCTTCCTAAAAATGTAAACCTGTTCTTTTCCACAGATTTGATGTCCACAGTGTGGACACAGTTGTAACTACATTATCGAACTTAAATTCCCAAATTTGTTTGTTCTCAAGGTAGGTCCTTTTCCATTATGAAGGAGAAGTTGAAGAAATTCTGATTCCAGTGACAAGGAAGCATTCTTTGATCTTAGAAAAAGCTGTTGAAAGGGTTAAAAAAAAAAAGCTAAAACTTGTTTCACATACGTATAGATGAATAATGGTTTTTGGCAAGGATACTAAAATGTTATTTTCTAAAAGTAATAAGGTACTCTGGGTATGCCTGGTTGTCATAAAATACCACAAATATACTTGGATTTTGCACATTATCTGTGACAGTGTCAAACAGGTCTGTAGGATTCTGAGAGTTCTTTGGAGGAGGCACAATTAATGAGTGATTTCCAAGTGAGTATTGTCCAGTGAGGACTCGCACATAATACATATGCTTTTTCCCATTTGCATCTGGTCTGGAGTATGTATCATGGGCAGAGTAACTGGCATTGACAGCAAAATAAGTTCCCTTTCCATATGCCACAGCTGTGAAGAGAAAAACAAACCATTTTTAAGAATTTCAACTTAGCGTATCATTTGACATGTTGGCCCAATATGTCAAATTACATGAAAGTAATGTTCAGTTCTCTCTGAAGCCTCTTTAAAAATTTTTGAGTATGTGCTTTTTTATGTTTAATCCTCAATTTTTCCACCTTGCAGGGCCAGTCAGTCCCCTTTGGGATGGAATACAGTGAGTCCCATCCTGAAACTTGGGCTGTAATGTGGCCACCAACGATGGAGGAGCACAGTGGATCCACTCTGCCCCTAGCCAACTTGGGTTCTCATGACTGACGCCTCATTCGAAGCAGCCAGGTTACTCGCTTCCTTACCATTCTTTCCAGCATAGCTGCGGTTAAAGCCATTTTGATTGACATATGGCACCGAGCCAGCATCTGTCCCATGGAAGAGTCGCTTCTCATTTATTGTCTGGCCATTCTTGGCATCCATGGTGTTTTTCTTTATCTGGTAGCATTTCCAGAGATCTGGATTCTGGATCCTCTCAATCTGAAAATTAATAAAGAAAAATATTCTGCCAGTGCCAAGATCACTTGCCAAGATACAGCAAATGAAACATAATCACTATGTTTCATAAATAAAGAATACACTAAACAGCACATTTAATGCCAGATGGCAGCTTTCTGCATTCAGAAATCTTTTTAGATCCAGTATGTCATAAAAACAGGCAACAGGAAGAGTGTTGCTTTCATTTTTAACATTTTTTTTTTTTGAGTTGGAGTCGCACTCTGTCGCCCAGGCTGGAGGGCAGTGACACGCTCACAGCCACCCCAGCGTCGACCTGCTGGGCTCCAGTGATCCTTCTGCCTCAGCCTTCCAAGCAGCCGGAACTACAGGCACATACTACCATGCCTGACTAATTCTTTCTTTCTTTCTTTCCTTCTTTTTATTTATTTATTTTTCAGTTGGAGTCTTACTCTGTCACCCAGACTGGAGTGCAGTGGCTGCTCCTGACCACCGCAGCCTCAACCTGCTGGGATCTGGCAATCCTTCCGCCTCAGCCTTCCAAGTAGTTGGAACTACAGGCATGCGCTACTACGCCTGGCTAATTTTTTTGATTTATTGTAGAGATGAGGTCTAGCCAAGTTGCCCAGGTGGGTCTCGAACCCGCGGGCTCAGGCAATCCACTCACCTCAGCCTCCCAAAGCGCTGGGGTTTAGCCACCGAACCCGGCTTAATTTTTTATTTATTGTGGAGACAAGGGCTCACCAAGGTGCCTGGGCTGGTCTTGAACCCGCGGGCTAAGGCAATCCACTCTCCTCGGCCTCCCAAAATACAGGAATTATAGGCTGAGCCACTGAGCCCGGCCCATTTTTAACATCTTTTAGGTACCACATGAGCGTAAACAACGTTTAGGATCATAAGTCCTCATTGCCTGAATGCTGCTGCCCCAGCCTCTGCAGCTCCTGCTTTTACATGCACTCTAATAACTGTTTCTGTTGCTGTCTGCCTTGCTTTGTCACTTTGCCTCTCGCCGCCTCGGGCCTTCTGGGATACTGGTTGACCTCGCCATGTGCTAACAGTGGAAGAAGTGGCCGAATGTCCAGGCAAGAAGGAAATTCACTAAGGAAAATGAATCTCTGGTCCAACTGGAAAATGGAGCATGAATCCTGATGATGAGGGATCTAACTGGAACAAAAGTGGTCGTGCTTTGACTGTACTCTTTGGGCAGTGGTCTCCAGGGCTGTGGTAGAAACTGCTTGGATCCTGGGTTGCAGATCAGCTTCAGACTCCCCTAATCACCAAGTAGTGGCAGTTTCATAAGGCTGTCCTGGGAGAAGTGAGGGGTGGTTAAAAATGACTAGGATCACTCATGGAAAGGCACAAGGTAAATGTTCCATGTTGTCAGAATCTTTTTCCATTCTAGAGAACTCTCAGGCCTAGCACTTATCACCTGCCTTCATCTGGCTCTTTTCTTTTCTTTTTTTCAGTTTTGGGTTTCCTATTTTTAATCACAATACAATTTGCCTTCTAGTGCAAAGCTCCAGCATAATCATATATTTTGTCGATCTGATTTATGATTTTACTAAGTGGGCAAAAGATATGAATAAGCACTTCTTAAAAGAAGACACACGAGTAGCCAACAGATACATGAAAAAATGCTCAGCCTCAGTCACCAAAGAAATGCAAAGTAAAACCACACTCCAGTCCAGATGGCCATCATCAGTAACTCAGAAAAGGGCTGGGCACGGTGGCTCAGCCTGTAATCCCAGCACTTTGGGAGGCCGAGGAGAGAGCATTACCTGAGCCCAGAGGTTCAAGACCAGCCTGGGCAACTTGGTGAGACCTCATCTCTAAAATAAATTAAAAGAAAATAAGCTGGGTGTGGTAGTGTGTGCCTGTAGTTCCAACTACTTGGAAGGATGAGGTGGAAGGATTGCCAGAGCCCAGCAGGTCGAGGCTGCAGTGGCTGTGAGCATGCTATTGCAATCCAGCCTGGGTGACAGAGTGAGACTCCAACTCAAATAAAATAAAATAAATAACTCAAAAAACCACAGATGCTGAAGAGGATGCGAGGAAAAGGGAACACTTCTACACTGTTGGTGGGAGTGTAAACTAGTACAACCTGTGTGGAAAACAGTTTGGCAATTCCTAAAATGTCTAAAAATTGACCTTCCATATGACCCTATGGGCATATACCCAGAAGAACTCAAACCACTCTATGAAAAAGATACCTGTACACATTATGTTTATTGCAGCATTGTTTACAATAGCAAAAACACAGAACCAACCTTGGTGCCCATCAAAAGAGACTAGATTTTTTTTAAATGTGTACATGTACATGATGGAATATTACGCAGCCATAAAGAAGGGCAAAATTATGAACTTTACAGCAACTTGGATGGACTTAGAGTCTATAATACTGAGTGATCTATCACAGAAACAAAGAACTGAGTATCACATGCTCTCACTCATAAGTAGACCTTGAACAATTATCGTAATACCATAAGAAAAGGATTGTCATGAGTGGGAAATTACTGGGGGGCAGGGAGTGGAATTGGCAGTAGTGGAATTCTGCTGGGGGAGGGTGGGCACAACTCATCAACAAAGATACCTGTATAATAAACATTTGTATACTTAACCCTGAATTGTACCCCACATCTTTAAAATAAAAAATTTAAATATTAAAAAAGTATTTTCCAGCTGGGCTCGATGGCTCAGCCTGTAATCCCGCGCCTTTGGGAGGCTGAGGTGAGTGGATTGCCTGAGCCCGCGGGTTCAAGACCTGCCTGGGCGGTGAGACCTCATCTCTACAATAAATAAAAAAATCAGCCGGGCGTGGTAGCGTGCGCCTGTAATCCTGGCTACTTGGAAGGCTGAGACGGATGGATCGCCGGAGCCCAGTAGGTTGAGGTTGCGGTGGCCGGGAGCGGCCACTGCACTCCAGTCTGGGCGACAGAGTGAGACTCCAACTCAAAAAAAAAAAAAAAAGTATTTTCCCTTTGTATTCTTTATCTACAGCCAAGTTGCTGATCTCCAAAATGCCTACATTCATTTTATTTCCATTTATCTTAAATTTTGTTTATTGTACTCAATTTTAAAGTCTTCAAAATTTTTTCTTAGTATTTCAAAATAATTGTCTTAGTCTCTTCATTCTTAAATTTCAAAGGTTGTTCCTTACTCTTTAAAAATTGAATAACCACACACAAAAAAGGAATTATTCTAAGTAACACAGTAATCTGACTCTCTGTTTCTCACAAGATAAATTCTAAGGTCAAAAAACATTGCAAATAAATCTTAATTTTTATTTATTTCATTTATTATTAGCAGCAGGTTTCTGGCTAAGGTACATGACTTGTATCAGACCAATCTTTCACCAATAACTACTAGAAAAGCTAGAGGAGAAAGAAGTTTATCTGAAGGCAACAACGATTTAATGAGCAGAGATTCAGAGAGACGGGAAGTACATGGTGAAACAGTAAAAGTCAGAAGACGATAATGTCTTCAAAGTGCTGAAAGAAAATAACTACCAACCCAGAATCCTATATCCAGAAAAATGCCTTTCAAACAATGAAAGTGAAATAAAGACTTTTTCAGGAAATTAAAATTGAAAGAATTCATTGCTATCAGATCTGCATTAGAAGAAATTCTAAATCCAGATGAAAAAGTATCCCAGATGGAAGCATGGAAATACAGGAAGGATTGAAGAAGAGTGAAAAGAAAGGGTAAATATGTTGATAAATGTAAACATATACTGTACAAATTTAAATATTTGGTAGGGTTTCAAATATACATAGAATTAAAATACATGATAAAAGTAACACAAAGGCAGGAGAGGAATAAATGGGGCTTAAATTGTCCAAAGGTCATTGCATTGTCTGGGGAATGACAAATATATTAACTTACATTAAATTTAATAAGTCAAGGATTTACATTATAATCTCTAGGGTGAACAGTGAAAGAATTGTAATAGAATATACAACCAACACCCTAATGAGGGGGTGAAGATAAAATAACAGAAATACTTAATGCAAAAGAGGAAAAGAACGAAAAGTAGATATGATACATAGACAACAAAGATTAATATGGCATATTTCAACTCAGACATCAGTAAATACAGTAAACAGATTAAGTACTCCAGTTAAAAGATAAAGATTGTTGGGCTGGATGAAGAAAAACAAAATTCTGGCCTATGCCCCTACCAAGGGACACATCTCCAATATACAGTTATTAAAAAGATTCAAGGAAGAAAAATGGAAAAAGATATGTCCCACAACACGTTAACAATAACCAAAAGAAAGTTGGCATCGCCATCTTAGTATTACTAATAATAATTCTGGCATCATTTCTCTGGCCAGGATCTGCCAACGCATGGCAGACCTCCACAGGGCCCACTGCAGACCTTGCTCATCAACCTGGACATTCATTTCCACTTGGTCTGAATTTGGCATCGCATCACAACGTACCAGTCAACCACTACCAGTTAACTGTAACTGACAGTTGGAATGAAACTTGTTATCGCAGAACTAGACCGCCAAAGAGCTGCATACTAGAATCATATTGTCTTGGTGCCTCGTAGAATTGTTTTCGTTCAATCAGGCATCAGTTTTGTTCAACCAGTTTACATTAAAGGATGTTTAAAAAAAATCAGTGATATAAAATTTGATACTGAATTTATTGTCGATGATGTTGAAGATATTCTCCACAAGAGAAATCTCTCAGGAGTCAGTCCAGTATTGTGAAGAGCTGTCTCCTTATCAAATGGTGTACTTTTTTATTTCTGAGCATTATGAGTCTTGTAGCTAAATGTTTACTTCTTTGCTTTGTCTACTAGGAAGCTCAGGGACAAATTCATCACCTCATGTTATGCTTTTGTGAACTAGCATTACCTCTGTATTTTCTTATTTTCCCTACCCTCCTTTTCTCCTTATCCATTTTTCTTCATCTATTTATTTTATCTGCAATATTTGTATGTATCTTGGTAGGACACTTTAAATCTTTTTTGAATTATTATTACTTTTTTGAGTTGAAGTCTCACTCTGTCACCCAGGCTGGAGAGCAGTGGCATGTTAACGGCCACTGCGGCCTCGACCTGTTGGGCTCTGGCGATCCTTCCACTTTAACCTTCCAAGTAGCTGGAACTACAGGCATGTACCACCATGCCCGACTAATTTTTCTTGATTTATTGCAGAGATGAAGTCTCGCCAAGTTGCCCAGGCTGGTCTTGAACCTGTGGGCTCAGGCAATTCTCTCACCTCAGCCTACCAAAGTGCTGGGATTATAGGCGTATAGGTGTATAGGAGTATGTTCTAGAACTTGAGTCAAAGATCCAGGTAGGTAGTACTGATTTGGGAGCTATCATCATTGAACTAATAGCCAAAGCCAAGAAAAGTAAAAACATCTCCTGGTGAGGTGCAGAGACAGAAGACCAAAGTATAAGTGCTATGGATAAAGCTAGAATTGGGGGTTTGGAGAAGAAACAGATACCAGTGAAAATGAAAATAAATTTAGTTAAAAAAAGAAAAAAAAAGAATCAAAATAATATTGTCACAGAAGTCAAGAAAGAACAAAGTGGGAAAAGATGCCAAATAATTGATGGTTGCTTTTGTTTAAGAGCAAGATTTTGCTATGCTGCCCAGACTCATTCAAAACCAGGCGCTCAAGTGATCCTCTTGCCTCAGTCTCCCAAGAGCTGGGATTACAGACATGAGCCATAAACAAAAAAAGGGCCACTGGGTTTATCAAGGAAGCACTGTTGACCCATGAGTAGTGTTGCAAAAGAACATGATCCTGATCTGAGGCTCTTTTGTATGGCTCTTTGTGTTTGCTAGTCATCAAACCCAACTCTGAAGCCCTATCTTTGATTTTTTTTTTTAAGTAGGATTTATTGAGAGGACAGAAAAGTTCCCAGAGTGGGAGGGATCCAAGGGGGTTGCCCTATCTTTGAATTTTTATTAGCTCGATTCACAAAGTAAGAATGACATGTCTTTAGTATTCTAATATCATGCTACAATCTGATACTATAATAACTGACACAAGAATCTTAATGCCTCAGTAATTATGGTACATGAGTAGAATCTAGAATCTAAAATCTAACTACCATAAAAATTCTAATTCTAGGTTTAAAAAAGGTGATAGGATGTGAATGAAAATGTATTTACACTTGACCATGACATCACTTATTTCCCCATTAAAAAATCCTACTCCAGGCCGGGCTCGGTGGCTCAGCCTATAATCCCGCGCTTTGGGAGGCCGAGGTGAGTGGATTGCCTGAGCCCGTGGGTTCGAGACTCGCCTGGGCAACTTGGTGAGACCTCATCTCTACACTAAATAAAAAATTAGCCGGGTGTGTTAGCACGTGCCTGTAGTTCCGGCTACTTGGAAGGCTGAGGCAGAAGGATCGCCGGAGCCCAGCAGGTCGAGAGTGCGGTGGCTGGGAGTGTGCCACTGCACTCCAGTCTGGGCGACAGGGTGAGATTCCAACTCAAAAAAAAAAAAAACCCCACTGCAGCAGGAGGCTTACCTTCTCTATTGTGAACTGTGAGCAGGTCTGATTAAAACTGCTTGCCACAACGTTGTATTCTGAATCACTGGGCTGTAGCTCCACTGTGCAGAAATTCTGCTGCTTCATATCACTCCAGGATACAGGGATATCAACTGCAAAAGACACATTTTGAGGATTCCCTCGCACATTTCTGGTGTGCTTTGAAAAACCGAGTATCATCTGTGTTCTTGTTTTACAATCTTCTTGTTTTACAATCTTGTTTTACAATCTTGTTTTACAGTTTTAAGTGTTCAAGAAGTTCCTTATCTAAGGTAATGTTTTTCAAAGTGTGGACAATAGACACATACACCAGAACCAACCAGAATGCTTGTTTAAAAACAGAAAGAAAAGGAAAGCCACAGATCTGTGACTCAGAATCTTGGAGGTGTGGAACGTGTGTGTGTGTGTGTGTGTGTGTCTTATGTTTTGATCATGCTAAGATTTGAGGACTGTTGGTGCAATATAACTCATCTGTACTTTCCCTAATCCATCAAATTTAACAATAAATTATTTCCCCACAGTGTTTTAAGTAGTTGCCATTGTTTTTTTTTATGGCATGGATTTTTGCCAGAACTCCTGACCATCATCAACACAAAGTACTTCACATCTGTGTTTTCAGTATTCTTCACGGCATCTTTAGAGTCGGCTGGGTAGTAGGTTTTGCTATGTGACAGACTGTGGTGGCAGCTCTGTCTCCTCCTCTGCTAAGCAGACGGCTATATGTGATTTGTCATTTCCCCAGGGTTACTCATAGCCAGAGGAATGTGTTCACTGATCTCACAAGAGATGAATATGGTGTACTGGAAGGTAATTGACTCATTTACAATGGGGGGCTTATTTGGTTCAAAGGCAGGAATGACTGCTACACAAGACAGGCATTCCCATCTCAGGGAGCAGATCTGCTCAGAGAATCTGAAGCCTGCTTGCTGTCATGTGTGTCAAGGAACCTTCTGCTCAGGCCAGAGGTGACTTCTGGAAGAAGTTCCTACAGGCTCAGATCCTCCCGGGGTTATCTGTCACAGACACAGAGAGGGCTTGCTCTCTAATCAGGTTGTCTTTCCTATTTCCTCTCCTTTGCTCTTTTGTTCTAGAAAACCTGGGACCACTTTTCTTCCATTCTTTTTTTTTTTGAGTTGGAGTCTCACTCTGTCGCCCAGACTGGAGTGCAGTGGCCGCTCCCGGCCACCACAGCCTCGACCTGCTGGGCTCCGGTGATCCTTCCGTCTCAGCCTTCCGAGTAGCTGGAACTACAGGCATGCGCTACCACACCTGGCTAATTTTTTGATTTATTGTAGAGATGAGGGTTCACCAAGTTGCCCAGATGGGTCTCGAACCCGCGGGCTCTGGCAATCCACTCACCTCAGCCTCCCAAGGCACAGGATTACAGGCTGAGCCACCGAGCCTGGCTCTTTCTTTTTCTTTCATTCTCTCTCTCTCTCTCTCTCTCTTTCTTTTTTTAAATCGGGGTCTCACTCTGTTGTCCAGGCTGAAGTGCAGTGACATGATCCTGGCTCCCCACAGCCTTGACCTCCTGGGCTCAGGTGATCCTTCCGCCTTAGCCTCCTGAGCAGCTGGGACGACAAGCAGACACCACCACACCTGGCTAAGTTTTTTAATTGTTTGTAGAGATGAGGTCTCACCACATTACATAGGCTGAATTCCTGGGCTCAAGCAGTCCTCTTGCCTCCACCTCCCAAAGTGCTGGAATTAACAGGCCTGAGCCACCTCACCCAGCCCACTTTTCTTTTAAGGCTATGGTTTTCTCTCTCTTGACTGATGCAGCCATTACCTCCCCAGCAGATCTGGTTCTGGAAAGCTAATCAGCTTAGGAGATGGGAATTTTATTTGTTTTATTTACTACTGTCACCAACAAGATGGTCCTCTTTAGGCTGTTAGGTGTATGTCCACGTTAGGTTTTCTCGGCCATAATAGAAGCTATTTAAGCTCAGAGACCACATTTTCTTGTTTATTTCATTAGGATGATTTGACTTTTTTTTCTATTTTAATTTTTGATGTATGTGCAAAATACTGTTAAGCCTAAAGTAGGTGTAAAATAACAGATGACAGGCATGAAAGTTTAACTCACCGTCATGTTTCACGAGGCGTTGAACAGGTACATTGTGTCCATTTGCATCTGTGGCAGTGTATGTGTCCAAGGTCACTGTGTACCTCTGACTGTTAATTTGGACATCAACTGTTTTTCTCTTGTTTTTCCATGCATCCTCCAAATTCATATTGGTTATTTTATCAAAACGATGAAAAGTATTATTGTCATTATATTGCCATTCTACAAACTCACTGATACAATCTGCCCGGGATTCCTGTTCTTTGGTCAATACAACTCTCTTGATCATTTTCTCAATTTCATCTCTAGCCTGCATCACATCTCTGCTAATTCCCAAAACCTTAATCAAAGGTCTCTGGAGGTCCAGGGAAACAATGTTAATATTTAACTTCTTCTGCAGCTCATTTAATTCCTGATATTCCTTCTCATCAAAGTATTTGATATACTCATCTTCACTGGTGTAAGGACACTGTTCCTTTTCAATCAGGTCCTGTATCCAGGAGATAGTGTCTTCCACACATTTTATGTTTTCACCACATACCTGGAATATAACTGATTCTGTTTTCTTTTCCAAAACCAAAGGCTTCTGAAGTTTTTTAGGCGATTCCTTTGAAAAGCCCAAAAGTGCTAAAAAGAAAAGTAAGAACAGTTTTTTCCCATGCAATATCAATGTTAGGAACATGCATGTCATAATGAAAAACTCACATTTAAATTTAGACATCAGAGACAGCTGAGGAGAAGCTTGAGACCCTTCTCTTTTTTTCATGTTGGCATAAAACACATCCAGTACTTGAGGCAGAAAGATGACAACTTTAACTTTTTTTACAGACTGGGCTGATCCTTTCTGGATAAAGTCTTCAAGGGCATCAATTATAGCTGTAGCAACCTTATCCGGGTCCTGATTGGCTTTTCCTAGAAAAGCAAATAATAAAAATGACTGAAGGGGAAACGAAAGACTCACCTGAAAAAGGCAGAGGGATAAATTAGGGTTTCCAGTGCTCATAGTATAAATGCCCACTCCCTAATTCTTTCATCACTGTAACATTTTCTATCAATGGATCAACAAACACTTTTGAAGTTCTAGATGCAATGGGGAGTTTTGTTTCAGGATGTCAGGAAGCCACCAGCCCAGCAACGAACAAGGGGCCCAGAAGTCTAACTTCTGGGGATCAACATTCACATCTGCTCTATTCAGAGAATCCCAGATCACTGTGTTCCTCTCTCCTGCTACCAAGCACAGGATCTTTTCTTCTTGGCTCACTAGTGTCCTTCAAAAAATTCATAAAAAGCAGAAAATGCTAATATATGTTGAAACAATATGCTCTTTAAATAGAAAAACATATTTTTTGTGCAATCATCACTTGATTTTTTTGCATGTATCCTTATTTCCCCAGATATCTTTGGAAACCTGATTTAAACTAAGCTAATTTTGTAAGACACCTGAAGCTATACACAATTTGCTATAATCTATAATTCTTTGTACACTAGTTATCAGTAAACCTCCAGGAAGGCTTTCCTCCCATGGTTGGTGAGATTTTAACTGAGCAGCAGGATTCAAAGCAGCCCCCCTAAGCAGATTCTTGCCCGTTTCCAGCATACTCCATATAGCCTGTCAGGCTATGACAACTACGCCTGGGTAAGATCATGAGAAGTCCCTTTTCAGCCATGGAAGTGTTTCCATGTGAACAGCAGCTCGCAAAGTCACATGATAGGCAATGTAAAAGTCTCCTGGTCATGCTGGTATGATGGACTAAGAGCCCACTTGATAAACCCTGTTGATGGTGCCCACCACTATTGTAGAAAAAGAGTAGACCTCTTTCACCTGGCTATGTGACAATTGTAGAAAAGTAGAAAAAATGTTAAAAATGTTTAAAAATTTTTTTTGGAGTAAAAAAAATACATATATATTTTGGAGTCGAGGTCCCACCTTGTCACCCAGGCTGGAGTTCAGTGGTACAATCTGGCTCACCACAGCCTCAAACTCCTGGGTTCAGGCAATCCTTCCCCCTCAGCCTCCCAAGTATCTGGGACTACAGATGTGTGCCACCACGCCCAGCTAATTTTTTTGATATTTTGTAGGGACAAGGTCTCACTATGTTGCCTAGGCTGGTCTTGAATACCTAAACTCAAGCAATCCTGTTGCCTTGGCCTCTCAAAGTGCTGGGATTACAGATGTGAGTTATCACTTACAACTCCACCCTGTAAAATTAACCAAGAGGATTTGTTCGGTTTTTTTTTTTTTTTTTCTTATTACTAGATGATCAGGGAAAGAGGGAAATTCTCCTTTGCAAAGCCATGGCTTTTCCGTGGTATTTGGAAGAGTTTAAATGAACACACTCAGATATATTCATTCATTCTCAATAAACATCAACTGTGTCCCATCACTGGTTAGATACTCAGCTAGGCACTTATTAGGACACAGAGGATGTGGTATGTATGGACAAACAGGTGTTCAACAAGTGAAACAGAAAAATCTGAGGGAAAGTCTATGTTAGATAGAACTGTATAACAGGGGCGTATGTTCAGCCTGTCATATACAAGGATCTGTTGCAAGAAAGATCAATCTGGAGGTGTGTGGAGGAGGCACTGGAGTGGCAGCCCAGGTCTAGTTAAGAGGCTGTAATGAAAGTTTAGCCAAAAGACAAGAGCTGAACAAAAAGAGGAGGCCAAGATGGATTAGGGTGTAGGGACCGAGTAACTACTTAGGAAGTAAAGTCAGGAGAACCTAGGGACAGGGTTTTATCCTTGACCCTTCCCTCTCCCTCTCTGGCCACACACACTCCTTCACTATATCATGGGTCACGTTGTGTTGCAGTCGTTTGCTTACCTGCCCATCTCTCACACTAGGCGAGAGGCTCCTTGAGAACTGGACCCTTTTACTCACTATCTTTCTACGTCCAGTGCCTAAACATGGGGCCTGGCACAGGCAGGCAAACGTCCCATCAAATAATTACTGAGCTCATGAGCATAGCAGTGATAAAGAGGGCAGAGTCCAGGACTCTAGATGGGAAGTGATACTATTCACGTGACTAGGGATATAAGAGGAAGAGCAAGTTTTGAGAGATACAATGAATGGGAGTTTGGAGTCTGCATTGAACTTGAGGCATTCCCAGGTTATCATTGGCCACCTGTTCTCTCCTCCGATGCAGATGTCTGTGAGGAACAGCCTCCCTTCAACTGCCAGAGGCTGTCTTGATCACAGTCCTAATTCAGCTCATATATGCCACTAAGGGACAAAACTTCCCATCTGTTCATCTCAGCACCAGCTCAGGTGGTAATCAAGATAGGTAGAGGGAAAGCAAGGATGACCCACTAGCCCTGATCTATTTGTGAAGACCAGCAACACAACCAGATAAGTGGAAGAAACAAGAAGATTGCAGCAACCCAGAAATCTCAAGCATTTGTACTTATTTATTTGACTCTGTTGCTCAGGCTAGAGTGTGGTGGAACAATCACAGTTCACTGCAGCCTTGACCTCCTGGGCTCAGGTGATCCTTCTACCTTAGCCTCCCAAGTAGCTGGGACTCCAGGTGCATGCCACCATACTCAGCTAATTTTTAAATTTTTTGTAGAGACAAGGTCTTGCTATGTTGCCCAGGCTGGTCTCGAACTCCAGGGCTCAAGCAGTCCTCTTGCCTTGGCCTCCCAGAGTGCTGAGATTACAGCTGTGAACCACTGCGTCCAGCCATTTGTACATATTTATACAAAACTAAAACTACCTCCTTTCTTTGTTTCTTCTTTTGATTCCACCCAGGGACTCCCTTGGGAAGGTCTGCTTTCTTGACACAAATGAGTTTAAGGTGGAAACACAATTCTCAGAGAAAAAAGCAGATGGAGACAGAGACTGGGGAGTCACTGGTGGGTGTCTATAAAAGATAAATAGATGATAGAACAATTGATAGATAAAATGTTGGCTAATCTGCTAGAAATAGATGACACCCTATGGAGAATAAAAATATAAAGAGGTCAAAAATTATACTTTTAAAAATAGGTAAGTCATAAAGTAGACACAGAATTAATTCTATCTCAGAACATTATGAGGAATGCTATAGAATTACAGAAAGCAAGATATGGGTCAGAGGATTAACAAAAGGCCCAGAAACTGGTAAGGAAGGTTAAGTCAATTGAGGCTAAAATTTGGGAAGCCTAGAATGCCAGTTTAAGACACTCCAACTTAGATTCCTGAGCAACAGAATGACTGATCAATGCCAAGTGTTCACTCACCAGGACCACGCAGCTCCATTCACCTCAAGCATAGGACGCAGCTCCATTCACCTCAAGCATAGGAGGGCATGCTTGCCCTGACCAGCTCTCTTAAGGAGGAACAAGCAGGAATTCCGAATCAATGCACAGGACTCTGAGTCCTGGAGAAAGAGCTCAAAGAGCATCACCTAACTCACCTAACTAATGATAAACCCAAAGCACCAACCTTAGATATAAAGAATCATGCAGTCGTTATACAGTTTGAGGAAAATCAGAAAATCAAAGAGGCAAGTAGAGAGGAAAGAGGAAAGTGAAGAGTCAAGTTTCTGACCCACTAGGTCATGGTAAAGGAGAAGCTTCTACCCAGAGGTGCCCTGAGGGTCAACGAACACAGCTGACCATTGAGTTGAAGGCTGGAAATGCGCATCTGGAAATCAGATAGGGTGAGGTGAGAAGTTGATGCACTGATGTTCTCCACAGAGAGGAGACAGAGGAGGAAGCCAAGGACTAAATAATGCAGACTATGTGTTAATAACAAAGTGAACAAGAGGAACTGATAAAGGAGAATGAGGGCTAGCCCCTCTTTCAGGGCTCTCCCTTCTCTTCCCCTCCCTTCTTTCTGTCTCTCAAATTTTCCCACATCCTCTTTGGTTTTCTTCATTTTTTCCTGTTTCACTTAAACCATCCACAGGCTCTGCTCATTCCCTCAGGGGCTGCCTCAGGGTGAGAAAGCAGTCCATTCCTAGATTAGCAGTAGCTGTCCTGGTTTAGGCTCAGCTCTGACTACATCAACACTCAACACCAAATCTAAGCAAAGTGGACACCTTGGGATTTATCCTTGACAGCCAAAGGCTACAAACCTGTCCCAATGGCTGGGAGGCAAATGGATGAGTACTTCCGTTTTTCACACTCCTGCAAAGCACAGGAAACTGATTTCTTGACATCATTTCCACCAATGACATGAATGATATTCTTACACCTCAGAGATCCACCTTCAGTAATTATATAATCCTTGTTGGTCTGTTGAGCTGGGAAACACCGACAAAAAGATGCAAACTTAGATGTTGAACTTTCTCTTTGCTTAGAAAGCAAAATGTCAAACTTGGCAAGCAAGCATTTAAAAAATTCCTGAAATCCTGTCTTGGATGAAAAATGTTGTCTTTAATAAAAAATGTTATGGTCTAACTTCTTTGAACTGTGAGATTACCTTTTACTTCTAATTCCCTGATTAGAGTTCTTTAGTAAAATGTATGATTTTAAGACTGACGTGTTATCTCCCTAATACCAAGACTTTCTTCAGCCTCTTCACAGCCTCCCACACAAACACAATTTACCACCAAAAAATAGCATCGGGCTTTACCTTGAAGAGAACATTCAATTTCCACTTTTTGTCCAGCACATTCTAAAATTGCTTTGGAGACCCCTACATGAGAAAATCAAGATGATAACAAACATGAATTTAAAAATCACTATGGCATGTTTGGATCAGAAAGACTTCCTCATTATCTAAATATGTTCTCTATCATCAAAGGAATCCTAGGTATTGCTGATGATATAAAAGAAAAATTCATAAAATAACTCTCATTAATTAAGAGAAACTGTCAAAATAACTTGAAAATTTTAAAAATTTTAATTAATATTAACAAGCCAAAGTTATAAAAACCAGTTTGGCCGTAGAAACCCTCCTTCATGGCATCTACTGTGTTAACTACTACACTAATACAAGTAAAGCACCTGTTTTGAGATCAAATGTGTTTGACGTTGAATTTACGATCACATCTGCCTCTTCTTTCGTGATATCTCCAGAAGCCACCTGGAAGACGATGGGACCGATCTTCATTTCATGCACTCCTAAATCAGGGCTAGACACACTTCCATAAAAACCTGAGAAGAAAAGAAGCCAATAAACAAGCCAGCAACAGCAAGAATGACTCCTCACATGTGCCCCTCTTGTACGTCTCTCCCCCTCTTTGTGACCTCTGACCCTGACCCTGACCCTTAGTGATAACCTGTCTCTGAAAAAGAATTGCAAAATCTAACACATACCAAGCATGGACTTTGGTGCTGGTCAAGGTGAAGTTAGCCCACTGACATCTATTGCTCCCACTGATTACAACTAAAAACTCGGGAAAAACACAAAAGCCGCGACCTGAGAACTCTGAAAAGTAACAACAGCAGCAGGCAAGTTGAGAAAAGGAGCCAACACTTGTAGAAGCAGCTTGTACAGGCACAGAGTTTCCCATTTTGTTTTCTGCCAGCTTTGACCCAAGGGAGACCCTGCCTGCAGAACTACACAATGGACACATGCAGGAAACTCCTCAAGGACCTTGTCTTTGTGGCCTGAGGATTGGGAGGAGGTATCCCTGGAAGCTAAAGAGTATGGAAAGGAATCCTCATTTTTTCCCATATTTTTTCTTTTTTAACCCAGGCCTTTGCCCAAAGTGACTTCAGTTACAGAACTCCACACTGACACCACAAGGAGCTAAAACTCCGAGACCTTCTGCATTTCTGGCCAGAAGAATCAGGGTTAAGGGCCCCTGTGGTCTGAAAAGTAGATGTGCATGTGGGGGTTTTGTTTTGTTTTGGTTTTGGTTTTTTTTTTTCTGTTTCTTTTCTCTCTCTCCTTGGCCAAGGACAACTCAGGCAACACAAATTTGTGAGGTTAAGCAGCTTAAACTCTGAAAGAATCCTGTCTTTCTGACCAGAGGACTGGGGAAATGTAAGCCAGAGGATGGACAGGGAATCCTAGAAAGGTAAGAGCAAGAGAAGAGGATCCCCTCACTCTGGGTATGAATTGGAATAAGTTCTGAGCTCACCCCAGAGCTGTACTTGAGTGGGGCAGACTTGAAGCAGCATAACAAAGGCTTCAACTGACTTTGAGAAATGGAACCACTTCTCCCAAACAAGGCGAGACAGAACTTGCAAAATGAACTTAATGCACTGGCTGCTTGCTCAACAAAATGATCACCATTCTCCAGGGGCTTTTAACAGGACACAGTCTTATAATATTTAAAATGTCCAGCCTATATTCCAAAATTGCTAGTCATATAAAGGACCAGGAAAATGTGACCAGCAATCAGGGATAGAGACAGTCAATAAATGTCAATCCCAAAGTGACCCAGGAGTTGTAATTAGCAAAGACTTTAAAGCATCTACTCTATCTATGATACACGAGTTCAAAGTAAACACATGTGAATGAATGAAAATGACATGGAATGAATGAAAACACAGGATCTCTCTGCAGAAAAATAGAAACTATTTTTAAAATAACCAGATGGGCTGGGTGCAGTGATTTCACGCCTATGATCCCAGCACTTTGGAAGGCTGAGGCAGGAGGAATGCTTGAGACTAGGAGTTCAAGACCAGCCTAAGCAACATAGCAAGATCTTCTCTATAAAATATCAAAAAATGATCCAGGCGTGGTAGGCGCACTTGTAGTCCCATCTACTCAGGAGGCTGAAGGAGAAGGATCGCCTGAGCCTGGGAGGACGAGGCTGCGGTGAGCCATGATTGTGCCACCCCACTCCAGTGAGATCCTTACTCAAAAATAAATAAATAACCCAATAGACATTTTATAACTTTAAAATATCTAAAATAAGCCGGGCTCGGTGGCTCAGCCTGTAATCCCGCGCCTTGGGAGGCTGAGGTGAGTGGATTGCCTGAGCCTGCAGGTTCGAGACCCACCTGGGCAACTTGGCGAGACCTCATCTCTGCAATAAATCAAAAAATTAGCTGGGCGTGGTAGCGCGTGCCTGTCATTCCAGCTACTTGGAAGGCTGAGGTGGAATGATCGACGGAGCTCAGCAGGTCGAGGCTGCGGTGGCCGGGAGCGGCCACTGCACTCCAGTCTGGGCAGCAGTGAGACTCTAACTCAAAAAAAAACCAAAACAAAATCTAAAATAAATTCACTGGGTTCAACAGCACAGTGGATAGAGGAAAAACTCTGTGGTGAACTTGAAGGCAAATCAATGTGTCATCCAATCTGAAGAACAGAGAGAAATGAGAGCAGGGATGGGGTGAAGAACAGCTCTTCAGAGACCAGTGGGACACTGTCAAAAGGCTTCACATCTCACTGTAATGGAGCAACAGACAGAGACATGAAAGTGCAACTGACGGAGACCAGTGCAGAAAAAGTTACTTAAAAAATAACTTTAAAAGTCCAAATTTGATGGAAGACATGCATTTTTATGTCCAAGAAGGCTTAGTGAACCTGAAATACGATAAACTCAAATATAGCAACAACAAATTTGACAGAGGCAAAGCATTTGGTTGGTGTCATTTCTCTAAACGTGTCTATTTTAGAAAATACATGTCACATTATCCCTAAAAAACAGTCGTCTTGTCAGTACTTAAAACCCCTTGTACAGATTTTATAACTTGGCCTGCCATCTCTTTTGTTCCAGTTCATAAAAACATGGCCAGTGTCTTGCATGCTCATCTGTATGAAACATAATTTAGTATCTTATTTATCACTCATTGATCTTTTTTTTAATAAAAATCATCACTACCATCTTTTACCTATCCCTGAATAGTTACTTAGTGACAAGAAATCATTTCTCAATTTAGAAGCTTTACTGAACCTTGGGTATCTCCAGTCTTGGGAATTTTGTCACTGACGGGATTTCCATTCGCTCTTCTGGCAAATTCATCTGAAAATGCCTGGAAATAAAAACACAGTTTTGACCATTATACTCCTCAGTAGATGAATGGATCTGAATCATCAAGGAGTTTGATCTCGCATGTATATACATATATTTGGGAGATAACGATTCTCAAACAGTAATAGTACTTTTATGACAGATTTTTCAAGTTATAAAAATAGATATAATTCTGCTTCTACAAGTGTGCCTTATGAAAACTATCAAAGATATAAACAAAGATATAAATACGAGGATATTCATTAGAGTGCTATTCATAACAGAAAAAAAACAGTTAAAAATTCAATAGGGAAATGGTTGAATTAGTTTTGGTATATCCATGTGTTGGAATAGTTAGCAGCCATTAAAAATTACATTTTCAAAAATATTTAATGAAATAGGGAAATGCCCATTTTATGCTATCAAATGGAAAAAGAAGGATATTAATTGTGTATTATATAATCCCACTTTTAAAAGCACACATGTAGATACACTAAAGAATGTATGCATTTTGTTCAAAGTTTCTACCGTGAACATATATTACTTTCACGATCAGTAAAAGCAAATAACTTGCCCAATTATAGAAACTACAGTGTTAAGAGACATAATGGCAATCACAAGATCCCAAACATTTCCATTTTTAATTTCTTATTTGTACCAGGTAAGGAATGACTAGGAGGGAAGTGATTTTTGGTGCAAGAGGCTGATGTATGTATTCTAGTGAGAACTGTGAACTTCATTTCTTTGTCAGGTAGTGACAATCCAAAATCATCATTTTCTTTTTTCTTGTAAACAAGTAAACGGATAATTTTGTCGGGAAAAAACAAGCAGCATCTTGCTTAAAGACTGACCTAATGATTGGAGAAGGACCCAGAAAGAGGTTGGAGCAAGGGCCCCAGGCTTACCAGCCTCCCGGGGCCAGAGGTAAGGCACATGTGGGGTGGACTGATTTGACTCTGAGACTCGAGGGCACCTGCCACTCAGCCACAGCAAACTGTTCTAAGCAGGAAGCCATGGCCAACGTGCCAGAAGTTTTGAAGTTTTAGGTCATCGTGGACATCTGGAGTTTTACGTAAAGTTTTTGATTTTTAAGTGTTAGCAACTGATTCAAATTTTTAAAAAATTGACCAAATAAAGCACATCTAACGGTCACATTCAAATCACGGGCTTCTATTTTGTAACCTCTGTTACAACCTCCAACTATAAACATCTCAGTAAGTTTTGCTAATTTTTTTTTTTTGGGGGGGATGCAGTCAAAAGTTTAACTGTCTTTAAAAGTCTTGGGAGAAAAGCTGTAATAGCCATAGATAGAGAATTAATAAGATTTCAAGTGGTATTAAAGATGTCTATATAGACTAGTCTTTTTTACAGAATACTTGCAGAGTGTGCTGAGTTTTTAGGAGAGAAAACGAAGGTTGGGGTTGCATGAAAATATGTGATTTGAAGGTTCCGGTGTGTCACAGGAGCATATCCTGCCAGCCATTGAAAATGCCCAGCACTTCATGCCTCTCCTCTAATTTGCTTTGTACATATAAATCTTAGCTCTACCCAGGCGCAGTGAGTGGCTCACATCTATAATCCCAGCACTTTGGAAGGCCAAGTTGAGAGGATTGCCTGAGTCCACGGGTTCGAGACCAGCCTGGGCAACTTGGCAAGACCTCATTTCTACAATAAATCAGAAAATTAGCCAGGTGTGGTGGCATGTGCCTGTAGTTCCAGCTACTTGGAAGGCTAAGATGGAAGGATCACCTGAACCCAGCAGGTCGAAGCTGCGGGGGCCATGAGCATACCACTGTACTCCAGCCTGGGCAAAAGAGTAAGACTCCAACTCAAAAAACAAAACAAAACAAAAAAAAAAACCTTAGCTCCAAAGGAATCATGATTTATAGGAGGGAAAAGTATGTATTATATACTCTGTTCCATGATCCACATCACATCACACAATACAACTGCTAGAGAGTTTACTTAAAAAGCTTATTTTGAGTAGAATAACCAATTATATAGGACAACTGAATGGACCACATATTTCACTCGGGTGGTTTTGCTGCCAGATTCGAATTTAGGTTAGATTTGTTCACTTCCAAAAAACGTACAAGTAGTATCTAGCCCCAGACAAAAATAAAGTATGACCTAAAAATTCAGATGGTCCAATGATGCATGAACATCTCTTGGGATGCTGACTTTAATCTGTTAGATTTTTGCAATATCATGAAACTTTTCAAACATCTAATGTCGTCTACTCTACGGGTTTAAGTAAAGACTTGGAGCACAGGGATAATGGCTTCCATGGCACTTTTGCTTCTATAATGCTGAGTCCAGTGGCTCACCCACAGTTGGTGCTCAGTAAATGTGAGTTGACTGATGGACTCTCTATGACTGCAGATGGTTCTAGTGTTTCTGGTCCCAACTCTCCTGCTCACATGGGGATATGCGATTCACAGAAACCACGCCCTTTGCTTGTATCCCATCCTGAAACTTTCCTATTGGAAAACTGTGGTTACAACTGTGCTTTTATAACATGTATTACACTTTCTATTTCCATATGGAAAGGAATCCTTTAGATTGGAAAAGTCTTAAGGAATATGTCAACTCCATTGCAAAATATGAGCCTTATCTGGATTCTGATTCAAACACAAAATTGTAAAAAACAAAACATTTATGAGATAGTTGGAAATTTGAGCATTGACTTGGCAATTGATAAAATAAAGGAATTGCTGTCCATTTCTTTTAGGTATAATTTAGTCTTGTGGTTATGTTACTTTAAAAAAATTGTTGTTATTTAAAATAAATGTTGCCAGGCTCGGTGGCTCAGCCTGTAATCCCGCGCCTTGAGAGGCTGAGATGAGTGGATTGCCTGAGCCCGCAGGTTCGAGACCTGCCTGGGCAACTTGGTGAGACCTCATCTCTACAATATCAAAAAAAAAATTAGCTGGACATGGTAGTGTGCGCCTGTAGTTACACCTACTTGGAAGGTTGAGGAGGAAGGATCGCCGGAGCCCAGCAGTTCGGGGCTGAGGTGGCTGGGAGCAGCCACTGCACTCCAGTCTGGGAGACAGAGTGAGACTCCAACTCAAAATAAATAAATTAAATTAAATTAAATAAATGCTGAAATGTTTATGGGTAAAATTATATGTCTAGGATTTTCTTCAAAGCAATATGGGAGAAAGAGAAAAATGGAGATATTGATAATTGTTGAAATTTAGTGGCAGGTACAACGGACTTCATTATTCTATTTTGTCTGCTTTTGTATATGTTTGAAATTTTCCTAGATAAGAAGTTAAATTTTTTCTACATCCATAAATTTTCTTGACATCAGTCATGCTATAACTAGTATACACTATTTCCTTACTTTCCTATATGGGAAATCCATGAAAGAAACATCCTATCACACCAAGAAGACATTGGAGAACATTAGGTCTCAGTTGCCAAAATAATCAGAAACGAATGATACCATACCTGAATATTTCCATGATCAGCTGGGTGCAGCAGAAAGTGAACCTCTTGTAAAGTTCTCAGTTGATGCTTACTACTAAATTTCAACACCTCTGAAATGATTAATTCAGCAAATACGGTTTTAGGAAACCCCAAGTTTCCTGTTCCTATTGCTGGAAATGCAATTGATTCTAAGGACAATCTCTCAGTGATCTCCAAACAATCTCTGATTATGTTTGCCATAATCTGAAAAGCACAAAGCACATCCTTATACATCTTGCCTAGAAATGGGAATCAGAACAAAAAAGACAATAACTTAGCAATTTTGACTATTATCTCTTTCTACTCCTTTTTGCTTTCAACAGAGATTAAGGGCAGTCAGAAGAGGAAAGAAAAATTCAGAAGACTAGGAAAAGCAAAAGAGAATGTGAGAGACCCTCCAAAACACATAAACTCACTCAAGCAATGAAGGAAAGAAGCAAAGCATCTACTATTCTTATCCTTCATTCTCTTCCATTCTTTATGCCCTTGTCTGACTTTCTTCCCTAAAGAAGTAATATCTCCAATAACCCTTCCTGGAGCTCCAATAATTACTGCACAAAAAGAAATTCATATTATTGGCTGGTCCTCAGGAGAAGTCAGCTACAGCTGAAAGAAATGGTCACAATGATGGATCCTGCCAAAAATGTGGCACTATCAAGATAATCTATATGATACTGAAAGGAGAGTCCACAGGGTCACCCAATTTCCTGGAGAATTAAAAGCAGGTCCAACCTTGTGTGAAGAGTCCTTGCCACTTTTCCACTGTGGAGCCACCACGTGAAGCACATGGTAGCAGTGCAGATTGCAGCCACTGGTTTGGAGAACTGTGCCCACGTTGACAGCTACCCCTTGTCCAGCCATGTTCAGTTCCTCCTGGAGCTCTGGTCCAGCTTTCTTCAAGAGGGCCTTAGAAACAGGCCCTCCATCAAGCACAAGATCCAAGGCAACAGAGTTGACGACAACATCAGTCTTAAAGACAAAACCAAAAGTGTGTTCAAGATTCTAACAAAAAGCATTCATCAATGATTATCCTATTCAAGCCACTGGGCTTGAAACAGTGGGAGACAACTAAAATGACTCAGGTTTCAAAGATTGAAATACCACCCTGAGACCAAATATTATTAAATACTTACTTAAGTGACACTCCAGGACAAAAGAAAGCTGTCAAAAAGCAACATGTGAATGGTAAAGGATCACCGAAAGAGTCCAGAGGAAGCCCTTTCGAGTAACTGGTGAAGACGCCATGGCAATGTGGACTCTGAGAAGTGGGAACAGTTGCAGCAGGTAGAGAAAGAGACAGGGAACAGCATGAACATAGCATGGGGGGCTGGGAGCTGCAAACAGTTTAATTTGATATGACAGAGTTTCTGCAGCAAAGTGGTAGAAGCTAGGCTAGAAACGTTACACTGGGGGCAGACCGTGGAGAGCCCACTTTCAGTGCCACCTGCACTTCCTGACAGTGAGTAACCCTGGAACCTTTTGCACAGAAAGTGAATGTGAACATATCAATCAGGCTAGATTAGAGAGGCCAAGAGAAAAGGGGAGAGGAAATGCAACCATGTGATTTTTCAAAGCAGTCATGCCTGGGTCACTGAGGAGTAATGCGTAGCAGTTACTGTGGCGATGGAAGGTACACATCTTCTGGAGTGAAAGGAATAGAAAGAGTGTCCTTTTTTTTCTTTTGGAGACTGGGTGTGGTGGCTCACACCTGTAACCCCAGAGTTTTGGGAAACCAAGGTGAGAGGATCACTTGAAGTCAGAAGTTGAGGGTACAGTGAGCTGTGATTGCAAATACTGTATTCCAGCCTGACAGAGCAAGATCCTGTCTCGAAAAATTAAATAAATAAATGGAAGATTGCCCCCAGAATAGAAGAAAATATTTGCAAATCATGTATCTGATATGGGGCCTGTATCCAAATACATAACGTACACTTAAAACTCAATAATTTAAAAAAACAAGTAACCCAATTTAAAAGCGGACAAAGGGCTGGATGTGGTGGCTCCTGCCTGTAATCTCAGCATTTTGAGAGGCTGAGGAGGGAGGATCTCTTGAGGTCAGGAACTTGAGACCAGCTTGAGCAACACAGCAACACATTTCCACAAAGAAATTATTTTTAAAAAATTAGGCCAGGCGCAGTGGCTCATGCCTGTAATCCCAGCACTTTGGGAGGCTAAGACAGGAGGACTACTTGAGACCAGGAGTTCAAGGCTAGTGTGGGCAAAATAGTGAGACTTCATTGCTACGAAAAATTGAAAAATTAGTTGGGCATGGTGGTGCACACCTGTAGTCCCAGCTGCTTAGGAGGCTGAGGAGGGAAGATCACTTGAGACCAGGAGTTTGAGGTTACAGTGAGCTGTGATCATACCACTACACTGCAGCCTGGGCAACACAGTGAGACCCTGCTCTCTAAAAATATATTTTTTTAAATAAAAAAGAAGATAAAAGTGGGCAAAGGATCTAAATGGACATTTCTTCAATGAAGATATGCAAATGGCCAAAAAAGCACATAAAATGATATTCAACATCATTAGTCATTATGGAAATGCAAATCAAAACCACAGTGAGATACCACTTTACACTCACTAAGATAGCTATAATCAAAAAGAAAGATAACAATAAGTGTTGGCAGGACGTGGAGAAACTGGAACTGTCAACATTGCTGACAATAGTATAAAATGGTATGGCATAGCCAGGCTCGGTGGCTCAGCCTGTAATCCCGTGCCTTTGGGAGGCTGAGGTGAGTGGATTGCCTGAGTCCACGGGTTCAAGACCCACCTGGGCAGGCGAGACCTCATCTCTACAATGAAATAAAAAAAAAAAATCAGCCGAGCGTGGTAGCGCATGCCTATAATTCCGGCTACTCGGAAGGCTGAGGCGGAAGGATCGCCGGAGCCCAGCAGGTCGAGGCTGTGGTTGCTGGGAGCGGCCACTGCACTCTAGTCTGGGCGACAGAGTGAGACTCCAACTCAAAAAAAAAAAAAAAGAAACAATTTAACTTTTCTCTTCATTATGAAAGTCATTTACTGACTCTGATACCTCTCAGGTAATGTAGGGAGGGAAATTAACATGTAGTCACTAACTACCACATGCCAGGCATCTGCTAGACATCTTACATATTCTTATTTATGTTCCCTATTCTCGGTTCTCATTTTACAGATGGAGAAACTGTGTCTCCATGTGTTCATTATCTATTACAGTATAACAAATTAGCCCAATGAGTAGCAACTTAAAACAACAAATATTTCTGATCTGCATAGTTTCTGAGTGTCAGTATGTCAGGATGGCTTAGCTGACTGATTCTGGCTGTGGGTCTGTCATGAGGTTGTAGTCAGAATGTGGCAGGGACTGCCATCATCTGAAGGCTTGATTGGCGCTGAAAACTCCATTTCCAAGATGGCACACTCACATGGTTGTTGATCAGAAGCCTCAGTTCCTTGCCTCATGGATCTTTCCAAGAGCTGTTTAAATGAATTTACATGGCAGCTGTCTTGCCCTAGATTGAGTCAGCCAAGAGCAATAGAGATCAAGCAGGAAGCCACAGAACCTTTTAGGACCCAGCCTCTGACGTGGTACACTGTTAATTATGCTTTATTCTATTATTGGAAGGGGAGGAAAATTAGGTTCTACTTCTTGAAGGGAAGAGTATTACAGAATTTGTAGATATATCTTAAAACCACCACATTCAGGTGCATTAAACTGCCAAAGTTTGCACAGCTGTAAGGGGTGGATTTCGGAATTAACCATGGTTCTAGCTAGGTCCACAACTTCTCTTTCCACCAGCCTGTGATTTCTCCCTGAGGCACGGAGAGCTGTTTTCTGGTCCATGTAATAGTCCCAGGCTATTCTATTTGTTTCTAGAGTTTCCTGCCATCTTTCTAACTGCTCGGCTGCATCCATCATATCTCAGCAACATTTTTCCTCCTCTAAGTTGGAGTTTTGAATCT